AAGCAATAAGCTTTCCTTTTCTCATTTGGAAAGATGGGTTTTAAAATAGACTGAAACCTGGATTAGAATAAATGAATTCATTTAACTTGAGCCGTGCAAAATTGCTATTCTCTGGGTTAGCAGGAAAGGGAGGAAGCGAACACATCCCAGTGGTCCAACAGCATGCTCTCGGGATGAGGGAAGGAGGGCATCCCGGGGCTGGTGGGGCATCTTCCTTTCTACAACTGTGGTCATTTCTTTAACTGTGCAAAGTCCGTAACAGTAAACCCGAGGAAGGCTTAGCTACGGAGTAGTGCAGCTTCTGCTGAGCCGTGTGCTATTGGAAAGTTGTCTGTTTTTAGTAATTACCAGACCTGGAGGGGGGTCTGGTTGGCCACTCTAGTTTATAAGCAGAGAAAATAGTACCAGGAAGCAGCTGAGCAGCTGGAGAATGGGAAGGGAGTTACCCTGCAGCTGGCCAAACAGGAGAGTCAATGATCTACGACACACCTTGCATTTCAAGGCTTGGCTCTGATTATATTCCTTGCCTGGGGCAAACCCACATGCCATTTAGGCCCCGGTGCCAGTTATATCTTAAAATGACAGGAACAAATACTCCACTCAGAGGTGCTCAATTCTCTACTTTCCCTGCTAATATAAAGTTAGAAATAACAACAGCCACTCAGCTGGAGGAAGACGCAGCCTAGGCAAGTGGGCATCTGAGAGTTTCTTTTTAATCCACTACAAAGAAAAAGACCTGCCCTCCTAAGTCTTGTGTTATTTGGTCACTGAGGGCAAGGATGAACAAGTAATTTGTGCAAACTAAGCCTGGTGTACAAGAAAGTAGACTGAGCCGTCTGCCAGGGTGCTGTGCGTTAAAAGGAGCACATTTGGGTCTGGACTATTATAACAGCATACACTGTGGGCAAGCGTTATTGGACCATATCATATCACAACGGGGGCTTAGTATGATAGCTCAGGGCTACTTTTCTTAGTCCAATGAACAACTTCCTTTGTTTGGTTTTCCAGTTTGACTCGGGATTTCTGCTCCTCTCTTAAATGTTAAGTGTTAGGATGGACGAATTAAAAAAAAAAAAAAAGATGGAGAGAAAAAGTTCTCAGAGCCTTTTGAGAATTCTAATTGCAGATGATGAACACAAGTAGAAATCACATGATCCAAAATGTAAGTCGACAGAAGTCCAATGTGTTCGCAGTTAAAACGGCAGATAGACTCTTCTGTTTTTCAGAGAGGAAAAAAAGAGCCTGTATGTTTTTGAGGTGCAGTTGAAACCTGTACTTGGAGGGGGAAAAAAATCAACTTCTCCTTCAGCTAATGCAAACACATCCTTTGCATACCAAATGGCCTGTGGGCACATAACCATTCCAATGTAGTCTCAGAGCACGTTTTCCTATTTGGATCCTTTCCTACGAACAGTTCATGCATAATTCTCCAGCCTGTATCCTTGAATTATCATTCCTGAATAGCAGGAAAAGTATAGTCCGGTAGAAAGCGATTCTCCACAAGAATTGATTTTTATTTCTATATATTTGTGTATAGGTGTGTGTCTGCTGTGTATGTGTGTGTGTGTGAGTGTGTGCATACACATGTATATGGCATGTGTATGCGCAGGTACATGCGTGAAGACCAGAGACGTACATCCAGTATCCTGTACTTCTTCCAATTACCTTGAGACAGAGGCGCTCAGAAAACTTGGAGTTTGACCAGAAGGCAGAAGGAAGACTTCTACTCCCCACAGTGGGGGTTTATAGGCACGCACGTGACCACACCTGAGCTTTCATGTGGGATCTGGGGATTATTACACCTTAGCCACTGAGCCATCTCCCCAGGCCCTCATAATGGATATTTTCACGAGACTGGAGAATTTTACATCATACTCTTTGCAAGCACACTGTTGATTGTTTTTGTATAGAAAGGCCCATGCCATTTAACTGATATTACTCTTATACTTTAAGTCATAATAATAATGGTAATAATAATAAAAATACCTGAGCTATATCTTAGTATTCTATATAAGAAATTACTACACATGTCAAGACTACATGGATGTCGGGGAAGATCAGTGGATCTAAGCTATAGTTTCGACTTTTTGACTCGTGGCTCATAAGTTAAAAGACACAGGTTGGAAGGACGGATCATTAATTACTAAAGCCGAACACTATTTAATATCGCACTCACCTCACAAAGTTATTGTGGGTCCCAAATTGTGTGCCAACAAGTATTAAACGTCACCAAGCATATCATATATGTGTATTGCATATTTACAGCATATTGTCATGAATTCAGAGAGGCGCACATACACATATGTGTATTTAGCCCTACTAAGCGTTCTTAGATGCTCACTACCTGCTGGACACCGCTCTAAGCACTTTGGGAATACTTCTAGTCACTATTATGAGATAGTTGTCTTTATTTTCCTTCCTGCTAATATTTCAACCCATCTTCCTCCAAGGTGATCTTAAATCCCATTTCCTGTTCTATGGGCAGAGAAGTCTTTTTCTTCCAGCTGTCTAGACTCACTTATTGAGGGCACACAGACTCCCTGCCATG